CCGTAAAAGGTGGTTTTTTTTTTTTTTTTTTTTTCCCCCCCCCCCCCCCCTCTAGAAGCCAATCCTGAGAAACTACAACCTTTTATGTTTGAATGCTAGCACAACAGTCTCCAAAGCAAATAACCTTTGTTTTTGGAGGCTGCCTAGAATACCGCTGTAAAATACCAGAATTTGCTCACAAACCTTAATATGCTGCTATGGATATGCAACTTTATATAATAAGCTCCTTCCCCTTCCACCAGTGCTGGTGTATCGGGTGACCATGCTGACCAATGAGTGCTCGCCATTTGTAAGTGAAATCCAGAATCCAGAGCTGTGCTTCCCTATGGGTTAGACCTGTACCATGGTGGAGGGTGGTGGACTTTGGGCGGAACTCACTGACACTGAGGAAGTTGTCACTAAACTGATTCAGTATCTTAGACATACAGGGCCAGATTCCCAACAAGTCTTCTCAGGAGAACAAAGGGGAGAGTCAAGGAGGGGAGGTCAATGGCACAGAGCTTTTCTCCTAGATACTGAGGTGTCACATTATTATTATTCCAGTGGTTAATCCAGAGTCAGATGGCCTACACACTTGCATAGTCTGCTATAGCAACATCCCTGCTTACCAGTATTGATGGAAGAATCTCATGCAGCCTTGCAAAAGTACATAAAAAATCCATGCGACAACCTTCTGGGTTTCAAAGCGTGATTCCAGTGCTGTGTACCACTTATGGCATGACTACCAGCATGTTCCTACTAAGAACTGGAGTTTCCGAGCAGTCTCTGACCTAAATTTGGTGATTGAAGGTAAGTGAAAGTAATGCCAATTTTTAGGGAACATATTGATACATTAGATGCCTAGTCACTGAATGAAATCTGTCCAGTAACCAATAATAAGATGGCTAAAGGAAACTAGATTTATTTTTTCAACTTATTTCAATACTTTATTGACTATTTGAAGTGTAAATTCAGTTGTTATATAATTGCCTCCTTCTAATCAATGTAAAGTACTTGGTACAAACGGCTCCCTTAGTTTACATGATGCAGATGTCACCAACAGGACTAGGAGAGTCACACTGTTGTTGGCACACAATGCAGTGATATGGCTCTTCAGAATGTTAGAAGTACAAAGATGGCCACACCAAACAGTGTGTGTGCAGGGCCGGCCTAAGGGCACCATGGCAACAAAGGCGGCCGACACGGCTGGTCCTCGGGGCAGCTATTCCCCCTCCACCGCTCTCCTCACTGACATGATAGCGGGGAGTGCAGGAGGGAGCGCTGCCTGCTGTCAGGATGGCTGAGGGGGAGAGAAGATGCGCCCACAGCTGTCAGGATGGCTGAGCGGGGAGAAGATCGGAGCTGCTGTCATCCTGTCAGTTTCAGGAGGACAGCGGCTGTGTGCGTGGCAGGGCGGGGGTTCCGTAAAGATCATTGATATTTACCAGTCCTCTGTGTGCGAAGGACAAACACTGGAGCGATTGTCTGATCACTCCAGTGTTTGTAAATAACTGGACACATAGTACTGTGCCCCCAGTTATGAATGAACAGGCTGTGATTTACATCACAGCCTGTTCATTCAAGATTTCCTCAATAGGGGAGAAGCGCTCACTACAGAGGCTCCTCCCCATTCAGAAACTATCAGTGTCTGAATGAATGGGAAGCCTCTGTACTGAGTGCTTTCCATTCATTGAGTGCTGAGGCTGCTGAAATTGAGGATTTGGTGTCCAATTTCTTTTCCATTTTAAAAGGGAAATGTCTGTTTGGACCCCTAATATTTCCCTGAAGCCCCCCAACTGTAAAAAAAAAAAAAAAAGAAATGTAAAAAATTATTTAATATTGAAACTGCACCACCAAACCCCCCCCCCCTCAACGAAAACAAAACGTTTCATTCGTTTCATCAAACAAAACACGTATTTTTATGCTATTTTGGATTCAGCCATTGGAGTGTTCTGGAGGCAGGGCACATGACGTCATATAACGCCACACGTGTTGGGCGCGCCATCTTGGTGTATATCTAGGTATGTTGGGGCCAATATCAGCGTGTGGCGTCAGGCATGCATGGCGTCATGTAACATCATGCTCCCCGCGGCCAAGATGGTGTCATGCATTGACGGAACATGGCCGCCGCACATTCTCAAACAAATGATGTGCCTGAATACATTTTTCATATATTCGGACATGTAGCAATTCATTCACTTACACGTAGTCTGGGTTTTGTGTTCGGTTTTCTATTTTTACTTTTCTAGATGCACTTGAAGAAAGGCTCGTCATGACATCCTGACACTTTATTTGTATAGACTCTATTTTAGTTTGACATTAAGGCCTTGTTCACACCAAGCGCGGAGCAGATCCGGACCAGAGCAGGTGCAGACCGGATCAAAACTGCGTCCAATGTATTCCTATGGTATTTTGACCTCCAGTTCACATCGCAGCGTGCGGATCCAGACCGGATGAAAAAAATGCGGCAAGCCCTATTTTACCTGCTCTGGATCTGGTCTGGAACGCATCAAAAACGCATGCAAGTGCCTGAAAGTCCATGTTAAACGTATAAAAAATTGTTTTGTTTTTTTTACCAAAACCGGCCCAAAACGCGGCACAACCCACTACACTGCGTGTGCAGAAACCTGACCGGATCTGGTCTGCATTTGGTGTGAACAAGGCCTTATTGTTTGCCTTCTGTTTTATTTGATAAGAATACTTATATTGTGCCGACAAGTTTAATACCTTTGAATAAAAGTTTGATTTTATCATACTTTTTAATATGTTTCTTTGGGGCTTAACAAAATTGGAGTCTTTAAATGGTGCGGATATTGGGGGAAATGGGTGTGGTTACTGGGGGTGTGGCCACTGAGGGCAGCTGTAAAGCTTTCTGGCACAGGGCGCCTAAAGGCCGGGTGTGTGTGTGTGTATAACTGGATTCCTGCAAAATAAGCAATTTCTACCAAGCACCACCTGGTGGCAGTTAGTGAAACCATATTTAAAAAAACCTGGTCATCTGAGCATAGAATATGTAAAATCCGCGCTTATGGATTAAGATGTATATTAT